AAGGGAAGGAGTAACGGGAGAAGACATTCACACCACTTCTCTGCTTTCTTTTGCAGTTTTGGCTCTTCCCAGCATCTTTGCCACATCTGTTCTGCACACCACTCACTCATCCTCAAACTTTTTCTGCAATATGCCACATTCACAATGGCTTAGCGCAGTGGCTACGACATACCATCTAACTATTATGATGTGGCAAGGACAGTCTGATTAATCTTCTTCCATCCCACTTTTTCAGCTGCTTCTAAAATGTCCCAGTTTTGATCTCATCCTCCCACTTTCTTCCTTTGCCCTCAGCTTACTTCATTGGCTGCAAACTGATTCAATATGCAAAAGGAGTTTGCACTCAGTTAACTCAACGAAAGGAAGAGAAGGGGAGAAGTGTTCCTTGTAGAGTCCAGCAAAGCAAAGTGCCGCAGCTTCTCCTAGCTTTGTATTCTTCTTCGTCAATAACTTTTGCCATTATGACCACATTCTGATGTTGCTTTGCCACATGTTCCCCAGTTTCCATCTATTAAATATTGGCAGATAAGCTACCAAACCTACATATTCTCCTTTGACACAGCTCAGACTGAGTCCTTCCAGCCTTTACTACAGTTGGCTACTCTCTCGCTTGCTTTGGTGGTCCATAAGCCCATCCTGAGCAGATCATCGGCCTGTGACCTGGTTTGCATGGGCCAGGAGTCCTCCTCATTCTTTTCTACCCCAAGAGAAAATCGAGAATGGAAGAAACACAGTACAAAACTGTTGACGGAAAGACCCCTTTTGTATCAAGGTCTACTGATAAGACTCTTTATTAAAGGTACATTTCTGAGAAATGAGTCACAGGTCGGAGTTGTGTCTTGTCTTAGCAAAACTGTACAAATTTTTACAGTGTTATCTTTACCTTAGAGACAGAAGATGATCTGATGTAGCCGAAATTGGGACACACACACACACATACCAGTTCCCCTTCTCCAAATATCACTGTGCTTTGTTTATTGGGTTACCGTGGAACCACAGAAAGCTGATAAGGCTGGGGAAGTTTCCCACTGCTGTGTACTTCTGGCAAAATGTCAATTTCCTCTCGGTCCTGGAGAGTTCTCAGGTTGAAATTTTGCAACACCGTCGTAAGGAATAAGAAAATCTCCATACGGGCTAAATTTTCACCTAGGCAAACCCTTTTCCCTGGAGAGGCAAAAACAAAACAAAACAAAACAAAAAAACAGAGTTTATGTACAGTGTTTTTTCACATTAGAGGAAAGTAACCTATATTGCATTAATCTAAGAAAAGTCATGCTAATCCACTCTTTCACCCAACCGTCACCATTTCTCTGTGAATGCAAAGCAGATGCTTTCCCCTTCTTCCTCTCCATATCCTCTCCCCACTGGCTTTCCAGATGTTTGGGACTTCAACCCCCAATACCTCTCTCCCTTGGCCATGTTGGCTATACTTTCTGGGACTTGAAATCCCAAAGGGAGAGCCTTGGTTCCTTCCAATGTCTAACCAACCCAGCTCTCTCATTCCCTCCTCTCTTCTCCAACCATTTGGAGGGGGGAAAAAGTCCAGATACCTGCTGAAAATGGCAGGAAGGCCTCGTTCTTCCTAAAATCTCCATTTTTGTCCAGGAAGTGGGCAGGATTGAACTTCTTGGGGGTTTCAAAGTAGCAGGGGTCCTCCAGGGCAGTGGTCAGGAAAAGGATGACAGTGGTGTCCTGGAAAGAGAACAGAGAGAGATCCCAGTAGCAACCATCAACAGACTGGTCCAGACTGGGTCCTGTCTCCTCTTTTGCCTGCATTCTCACCCATTCACACACCTTGACACCTTTGCTTTTGTTGTCAGACAGGATAGCAAAGTTTGGAAACTCAGATTGAGTAGTAAAGATTCAGAAACCTATATTAAGAAAGCAATAGATCCAGACCGGCAACTTTCATTGTCGGATCTGACCAGCAAACGACACATAAACTACACATAATTCAAACTTCAGGCAGGATTCATTCTAATTCTTTAAGATTAATAAACTCATCACTCTTTCCCATTTCTCTTGATCTTTCTAACTAGAGCCAGTTATTCCCAAACTTTGGTCTTCCAGATGTTTCAGTCTTCCAGAAGCTCCAAAACATCTGGAGGACCAAAGTTTGGGAATCGCTGAAACATGATGGCTTCCCACAAATGACTTTGCATAAGTTGAGCTCCTTTCTTGGCTTTCCTCAGCACCTGCATCTGAGATCATCATCATCATCATCATCATCATCATCATCATCATCATCTTCATTTTTATACCCCGCCTTTTGCCTGAAGGCAATCAAGGTGGCTCACAACAATTGCATGTATAAAACATCCCCACAACAAACAACAGTAACATAAAAACAAGTTAGCTTACTGTTCTAAAACATTTATATATCTCATTATTATATTATGGCAGGACAAAGCATATGCAACTCTTGACATTGTCTTGGGATGGTCTCAAGGTGAGAAAAGGTAGAGGGTCCATCTTTCTGGACCACTCTCCTTTTGCAAAGACAGACTCATTCATACTTTAGAGACAGGTAACCTCTCCAACACCAGACCAAAATCTCCACATTTTGGTTAACTCCGTAGCTTATAGTACCTTGGGAATGGTGTAACCACGGAATTGCGTGTCTCTCGTCACTAAATGTGGAATCCCAATCGGAGAAACATCTGCATACCGGTGGATCTCGTGGATGACCGCGTCGGTGTAAGGCATCTTTTTCCGGTCATCCATGCAAGGCCGGCGGTTCCTCCCGATCACTTGGTCAATCTCTTCATGGATTTTGGCTGCAAAGAGTTGAATGGAGGGAGAAATTGGCATTGCACCCACCCTGCTATCTCCTTTCACCTTTCTATCTCTGGGTTCTGGCATCTAGTAATAGATTTTATTTATGTGCAGGTTGAGTCTCCCTTACCTGGAATGCAAAAATTGTAAAAATGTCCACATGGGTGGCTGAGATAATGACACCTTTGCTTTCTGATGGCTTGATGTGAATTATATCCATCTTAAAATGAAAGTTAATTTTTGAAAAACCCACCTTCTATCTCTGGGTACCGGAGGAGAAGGAGGAGCCCATATCTTAAAGTGGTGCTGGCTGACGCTGTCCCGGCAGCAAACAAGTCGAAAATGCAAACAATCAGGTTCCTGTCGTGGTATTCTGAGGATGGATTATTCTTCTCCTGATGCAAGAACGAAGAAAAAGGAAAAAAGGGAGATGGATTTTAAGTAGCTTTCCTTTTTGGTTCCTTAGAATCCATCCATCGCCTTCTCCAGCACTCAGAATTTGGAATATGAAAATTGGATGAGCAACTATATTTGAGTTCTTTCCCCTACATCCTAACTGAGTCCAAAAACCAATCGACTTGAAATGTCCTTTCCCTCCCCAATTTCATTCCCATCCTCCTTCAATATTTCACTGTTGTCATTCAGTATTTCAGGACCTTCCTTGCTTCTCTTCCAAACGTACCTGCTCCATTTTGTTGAGGAAAGAATCGATAAAGTCTCGAGGGCAATTCGGGTCGAGGGACTGCCGGTGCAGCTGGACTCTCTCAACGAAGAAACTTCTAAGGTCCAAGAGGTATCTGGACAGTTTGTGGTGCGGTCCAGGCAGGATTTGCATCAGGCCCGGGAAAAAATTCCTCAACTTGCAAGGAAAGGAATAGACAATCCCCCGTCAAAGTTTGTTCTCGCTCAACAATTTGCACCCTATGCCTTGGGGTGTCAGTTCCCAATCCTCGTGTTATCTTTTATTCCTCAAAATAAAAGGGATCCATCTCAGAAGCTAAGCTGGGTCAGCCCTGGTTAGGACTTGATGAGAGACCACCAACAAATTATGCCATAGGATTTATTTCAAAAGAAGGAGCCAGCAACACCGACTCTGAGAATTCCTTGCCTTAGAAAACCCCAGAAAATTAATGGGGTCTCCATAAGTCAGCAGATGACTTGAATATACATACTCATGATTAAAAGACCCTAAAGGCACCAAATCCCATCTGATCTTGGAAGCTAAGCAGGGTCAGCCCTGGTTAGGACTTGGATGGGAGACCTCCAACAAAAGATGCCATAGGCTTTATTTCAAAAGAAGTAGCCAGCAACAACACCTCTGAGAATTCCTTGCCATAAGTCGGCAGATGACTTGAAGGTAGATACTCATGATTAAAAGATCCTAAAGGCACCAAAGCTAAGCAGGGTCAGCCCTGGTTAGGACTTGGATGGGAGACCACTAGCAAAGACCAGGTGATATTACAAAGGAAGGAACTGGCAGAACCACCTCTGAGGATACCTTACCTAAGAAAACCATACAAAATTCATAGGGTCACTATAAGTTGTCAAGAAACTTGAAGGCAGGCATATACTAGCATAATATACATAAAGGAAGCCCAGGGAGTGAAACAGAGCTTAGAGAAAGTACTTTATTGTAGACTACAAATCCCAGAATCCCCCAGTAAGCATGGCCAGAGGGATACTGGATGTTGCAGTCCCCAAAAGTAACTCTTTTGTTTGTTTGGTTGCTTTGAAGGACTGGTACCTTTCTTTCCTAGGCAGAGGAGAAGGAGAAAAAGCTTTGTAAAATACTTTTCAAAAACAATACTTTGTGCAATACAATTTGTTTTACAATACTTTGTATAAAGGACCTTCTTTGTCAAAGGCTTAGTAGTTAAGTGAGGAATGCCTGCATTTTTTTAGTCTGGGGCTTTGGAGGGCTCCTGGAGAGGGCTTTGCAGGCTGCTATGCTTTGCCAACCCATTATCTATGAAGATACAGAGCCTGCCCCTTCCCTGGCATCCGTCTCCATTACCTGTGCCCAGGGGGAAAACATGAGCCGAACAGATTCGCTTAACAGGCCAAGTAAAGTGATGAAATCTTTGTCTTCGTATTCAAAGCGTTGGCCGAAAACTACAGAGCAGATGATGTTGGAGACCGCATGGCCGAGGCACAAGGTTGGGTCGAAGGAGCGTCCTGCAGAAGGGAGAGAAAGGAAAATGGCACATGGAGAGTCACTTGGGAGAGCCAGCATGGTGTAACGGTTTGAACGTTGGACTATGACTCTGGAGACCTGGGTTCGAATCCCTGCTGGGCCATGGAAACTCACTGGGTGACCTCAGAGGATGGCAAAGGCAAACACCTCCTCTGAATAAATCTTGCCAAGAAAACCCTATGAAAGGTTAACCTTAGGGTCTCCATAAATCGGAAATGGGAGCTGACAGAAAATATTCTGGGATAAACGACACATGTATATATTTGGAGAGATTCCCTGAATGTCAAATTTGTGCTCAATTTCATTTGGCCTTTCTTGGAATAAAAAGTCTCCCCTATTTTGTCTCTGTTGCTAGCATTCAGGCGCGTGATCCTTGCAAGGTAAAGCAGGAGCAAAAGAGAGGATTCACCTTCCGTTTTCCGCAGGGCTTCCACCAAAAACTCAGCCTCCTCCTGAATCCGCTCCTCCATGGATCTTTTCCCCACTCCAAAGTTCCTCAGGGCAGACTGGCAGAAGTTGCGAAGTTCCTTCCAGCGTTCCCCGTTAGAGGAACCAATGCCTGCAAAATGAAATATATATGAGATTTAATGAACCAATAATCAGAATGCACCAGCTTCTGACTTCTCCAAAGTCCATAGCACTGAGCCATGGCAGTTAAAAGCAGTGTCAAAGTGCATAAATCCTCCAGTGTGGCAGCAGCCATAATGTTTTTAATAGGACCCATTGAAGCCGTCATGCTTT